CTCTCTCTCTCTCTCTCTCTCTCTCTCTCTCTCTCTCTCTCTCTCTCTCTCCTGCTATTGCAGTGTTCCTGGGTTAATACCAATTGACACTATCTTTTGATTTCTAATAATGCATACTCCTAAAAGTCATCAATACTATCTCATCAATACGATCAATAATATTGCATTGGATATACGCTCTGCCTAGATTTCGTGATTGTCAATGTCTAGGCCTAGATCTAGATTTAGATTTAGTACATCGTGAGCCTATACACCCAGTGCCCGATACCGGTACGCTAGATTTATCCTCTGATCTTATCACTCGTTACCGAAGTGAGACTATTTTTAAATCTAATGTTTTTCTTTTAAAATAATTTAGATGTAGATAAATTATTGAAATACGTTGATCAATACTTTAGTTTGGTAGATAGATCTATAATATTATAATACAATTATTTAGATCTAGATAAAGAATAGAATGGGTCCTAGAGTAGAGTAGGATTAACTAGGACGCTCTCATAATGTTCTCTATCCAACAAGCCCAGCTGCCAGGGCCAAGCCATCGGGGCTCAGTCACACGCTCGCTGGGGGCGTGGCCTATTTTACGTGTGCTACGGTTGTTGTTTTTTACAGAGGGAAAGAGAGAGCTGCAGCATCTTACCGTAGGCTGTACTATCTTTGGTAAAAGTACGTAGTGAGAAGGATGACAAAGAGAACAAAAGAAAGAAGAGATCAGAAAATGAGAAAGCCATGTAGCCTAAAGACAGACAAATTTTTTAAAGAAATAATGGTACCAGCCAGTAACAACAGCCAGGAAGGGTATGTAATATGCTAACTCGTGAACACCAAACACATTAGGTAATAATAAACCCTCTCATTTTATTTAGTATCACCATAACCTTAGTCTTTAAACTGGAAAGAACACAATTCTTTTTTTTTTTCCTAAGTGGCCTAAAATAATGAAGCCCTTCCACGCGCCAACCTAAATGAAGAACCGGATCTGTTCCTCGCGAAGGCGTTGATCTAGCAACGTCAATTTTAACAAATGTCTTTCAACGAAGTTCACACGACAAGCTAACATGACTGCTTGATTTACATTTTAGTTAATAAACATTCTTTTGCGTCATGTTTCCTACTGTGATCTAGGTGTACAATACAATATTACTGACCTTTTGTTGGAAGCTGATGGACCTCCGTTGAAAATCGGTGTGCTGACTGGTGAATGCGAAAACACCCGTCAGCTCACCTTATTTATTCCCTGCCACAGCGCTTTTCCCAGGGAAATGTTATTTTTAGCGCGACGGGATTTCACAACCTTACAGCGCCAGCTATGACGGTGTACTGGATTTTCCCGATTATAACAAGGATGAACCGTTCCGGGAGCAAGATAACTGGTGACTGTCTGAGCGGGTTTCCCTGATTACTGCGTGCCTAGCGTGTGTGTGTGCGTATGTGTGTGTGTGTGTGTGTGTGTGTGTGTGTGTGTGTGTTCGTGTGTGTATGTGTGTGTATGTGTGTAAGCTTGTCTGTGTGTCTGGTTTTATTTTCATTTGTGTCTGAGCAGTCTGAGAACCAGGGAAAATACTACTGAAAAATAAAAACACTCCTGTGACTGACTCTAAACATTCCTATCATGTACATGTACATGTAACAATTAAAAAGCTTTTGTAGCAACCTTTTTGTCGTATAATATGTACCACCAGTTTATGATTTTTTTATCTGGCTTAAAGTAGATCTTGACTACTTCAAGGATTTTCAGGCGAAACGAAACACGTTCGAAGCTTTAAAGACGCTATCAGCCGAAACGTAGCTGGCGCTTTCTTCAAAGGAAACCTTCTGTGTACCACGCGAACAGAGATCACGCGCTTAGAATCGTGGTATTATTTTTAGCTCGTCCTTTGTACCAGTAAAGACCGTAAAATTACCGGTATAATCATTGCTTTGTACTCGTACCTGTCAGCATTCCGGGAAAGTTAAATTTGAATTAGTCATACGCCGGTCGGAAAACAGGAAATAACTAGATCTATGTGGGTTGCAGAGTTGCTGTTTTTTGTCTTTTTGTTTTGTTTTTGTTTTTGTTAGTGTTTTACATCGCTCGCAAGTGCATACGGTCATAATTTATCATGAGCGCACCGGACACATTAAAAACATTTTCAGTTGGTAGGACATTTTGAACGTTGTCCGGATGGCGGCCAAAGCCTACTCTTACCGATTTTGGACCACCAAGAAATCTTTAACGTGCGCAACTTGCACACGGGACCCCCGAGATTTTTCGCCTTTATCCGAGATGACTAAGTGTTAGAAATCTTACTGCCAAAATTTTGATCAGGAGAGTGGCTGAAAGACAGCAGTGAAAGGAGGACCCAAGGAGTAGCAGTAGAAAGGAGGACCCAAGGAGTAGCAGTAGAAAGGCTTGAGAAAGAGTGAGGGGAGAAGGCAGAGGAGGTAGTGGTTGGGGGCAGAAAGTGGAGGTGGAGACAGAAGCAGATGACAGAACATTGTTAGAGAACAGGAAAGGATG